ATATATATATATATATTATTATTATTATTTTTTTTTTTTATATATAACATTTCTGTCCCCCTCACTTCTGAAATGATGGCTACGCCCCTGCATTCATATTTATTATATACACAGTATTGGTACCATATTGGTTATTGCCTGATATTAGGGATTATTTATTAAACGGTGTTAGCAATATGCTAATTTTCCATCTAGATAACATTTGATATCATCTAATAGGATACTCACCTAAAGATATATTTAAAAACACAAATAATTTAATAACACCATTACATGTAATCTGATGAATCCCATTACATGTGATGCCTAAATTCACTTTTTTATTTTCCATTTTCCACTTTCTTTAATTATTGTTTTTTGGTTTTAGTGTTTTATTGTTAATTTATTTAGTCCAGATTGTATAGAGTTGTAATGTCGGCCGTTAATTTTTATTCATTGGCCATAGATAGATAGATAGATAGATAGATAAACAAGAAAACAAAGAAACAAATAAATAAAGTCTCCTTGGTATTGAACAGCATTTGGATTTGGTCATTTGTTGGTTAACCACCATACCATGAAAAATGAATGATCTTTTATAAATGTATTGCATTTTTCTAAAAAAAGAAAAAAAAAAAAATTTCATAGTGGTCAGATTTTTTATATCTGCATCCCTAATTGGTTTATTCTTTTCTCACCCAATTTTCTGATCTTTTCAAAAACATTTCCTCCACCTACAGAGAAAGGAGGATTGGAGGAATATTCAGGTTACTGTACCACCAAACGGAGGCCCAACAACGCCCCTCCCTCCTTTCATTCCTCCCAGCATCACCTTCCCTGGGGTGGCGACTACACGCTGGGGGGAAGAGGCACGCTTCCCAACCGTGCTACTCGTCCTCGAATACCTCATCCACAGTCTGCTCCAAGCCACACCCCGAATCCTTACCCTCTGGATCCACCGGAGTCGAAGCAAAACCACAACTACGATACGCTTTCCAAACCACCACGCCGCGTCAAATCCACGGACCAGCTCCTCGCCCTCGGTGACGGCAACACCTTGTCAAGGATGTCGAAGAACCAACAGCACCAGTACTACAAAGCCATGGCCACTTCATCAAAGAATTCCAATACGAACACCCTGAAGAAGTCCAAGGAGAGGCTGCTGATGTCCCCAGACCACCTAGAGGAGGAGGTAGACGGGGTTGAATACGACGGAAGCAGGATGGGTATGGGAATGGCCGACTACACATCTGGAGGGGGAGGTGGAATGGTGCCCACCCTGCCCCGCGTTAGCCACCAGAAAGCTCAATCGCAGCAGAATGTTTGCGCCACGCCGTCGCTCGATCGTCACCACATGATCAAGATGAACTCGCACCCGACCTCCGGGCGAGAGCAGGAGCGCAATTCGGCGGCGATGTCAGGTCACCTGGGAGGAGGCGGGGTTGGAGGAGTGGGATGGGGCGACATGCCAGGAACCGGAGTTGTCATGGGAACAGGAACTCTTGGTGGACACAGTGCCAGGAGGCTTGCATTTGCAGCTAAAAGGCAAAATACCATTGAACAACTTCACTTCATCCCCGGTGGAGGGGGAAGTGGAATCCTGAAAATAGTACACACGTTTTAAATTCTCAAGTCTGCCCTTCAGTACATAACTGGAGATCGCTTTGAACTATCGATGAAAGCCATTCTGGGACACAATTGGGCAGAAAAGCCCAGACGAAAACCAAGAGAAATGTCTGACAATCATCTTTTTTCTCCATTTAAAAAGACTCATTAATGATCAATGACACTTTGTTTGGATTCTGAGCCACCACTTTCTACAATGTCCAAGTGCTGGGATTTGTAAGAGAGATTCACCATAAGGGACGCTGGACTACCAAAAGCACAAGAATAATACATTAGATTCCTGTAACGCTGGGTACTTACCCATCAATGCTCCTCTTAGGTATACTGTGTAGACAAACGGTTCACCTTAAGCTATTAAATATGGATCTGAGACGAAGAAAACAACTCATGAGTAAGGGCACTCATCAATATACGTATATGTTATGGTATTCTGGCATAACATTAGCGTGTAACATGGCAGTATCATTATCTCACTCAGGTGTGGGTTGACATTTGCATAAAGACGAACCTCCTGGACTGCTTTTTGAATCTCCATGTTGAAGCCATGTGTATATGCTGTTAAAACTGAGACTCTACGAACAGTCTGAGGATACGGGCATGCCAAAACAGCTGACCTGTGTTTTGAATCCGCTGTTGCCGAGATATGAACACAACAAGTCATACCTGATATCTTCATAACCAATAACGCTTATCAATATTAAGGGCTATACAACACACATGCGTTAGTGGTACAGATGTTACCCACAGCTTACTCATTATTCAGTGATAATAATCTCATTTACAAAAAAGATATTAATGTAGTAAGTAAATATTACAATGAAAAATGTAAATGTGAGATTGTTCGCAAACAAGCCAGATATCATTTACTGTATGGTTCTGGTCTCTGAGAAATAGCGCAGGTGTCAGGAACTCATTTTACCAATGAAAACTAATGAATTTACATTGTAAAACCACCAACTGGTCATTTTTTGTCATAGACTTTTTACCTCTTGGTTAATTTTCAGTGTAATGAAATTGAACGTTATAAGTTACGGACTATTTGAATATATATATGCCTCCCAGTAAAAGTGTTAAGGAGTAGTTTATATCACATCAGCATCAGGAGGATTGGTGGTAACACATTCATTTAACTTTTCACAGGAACTAGTGTGTATCTTAAAGAATTATGAATACAACTTAACAGCTCTGTAATACATTGGTGTTTGTTATTGTCATTACTATGACAGTTAATATTATGGTTATTGGTGAAATTTCTTCTTCTTGTTATGGTTATATTATAATTATGATGGTGATTTTTTTCCTCTGTGGTTTTAGTGTTAACTTGTTTTAGATATCTTTCTCATGAAATTCTTTTGAAATTATGAGTAGAAAATAGAAGCACAAACTTTTTAAAGCCACTCATTGTTTGACAATTCTTCATGCATTCCTAATGATGAGGAGTGCCTTCGAAAATCTCTCAGTGTGATGTCACATAGTAATTGTTCTAAGCCTGCAAATGCCATTGCTTGTTGCAGAGACATCACAATGGGTTTATAAATGATGTCATAGGGTGTATGTTGTATGTATGTAACCGAATGTCTTCTTTTTGTTATTAAGTGAAAGTTCAACTTTTTAAAGTTTCTTTCAGGGACAATTAGAGCAGTTTAATCTATTTAGTATTTTCTTTGTCATAAAAAGTCTGTAGCAATGTCTGTTTTGTATCCACAAGCCATAATTATGAAAATGTTTATGGAATTTATTAACAAGGCATATTACTGTCGAAAATAACAAACATTGTATGTGCAAATAAAGCCCTGAAGCATTTTAAAAGGTTGGTAGCCTACAATGGGATGTGCATTGGTTGCAGGCAAGCAAGTCAGGACAATGAAGACTGAAACGCTGGGAATAATGAGATCATGTCTTGAAATATTTAAGCACAGAAGCAGAATGAATGTTTGAATTATCTCTACATTGAATTTTAAATCAAGCATTACCCAAATGATGTTTACATATATTTTACTATCATAACAAATACCCTCAATATATATATATATATATATATATATATATATAGCATCCTTCCATACAGGTTAAATTTCACCTTTGTAAAATGAAGTTAACTGATGAAACTGTTGCCTCGAATGTCTGGTGACACACATAGAAGGAGAGACAGAAAATGTAAATGATTCATGTCGGCATTTACTGTACAATGTTTACGATATTATCTTCCATGAAGCATCAGACTGGAAATAAGACTAACAATTCCAAGGCAGCCATTTTGATAAGGACCAGCCTTTGAATTTGAGCTGTCAGTATGTAATAAAATGGCCACTATAAGAGCTTCTAAGATGCAAACATAATGCTAAATGAATCCTACAATAAATGAATAACACCTAGTATATTACATCAGATTCATAGTCGCCGAGTTGTAATTCGGATTTACCTCAGAATTACCCATTGAGAGCTCGCTAACATGTCAAATTTGACTGCACAACAACAACACTTGGAAGCTAACCGCATATACAATACAGCTAAAAAGCAAACGAACCCTACCGTTATTAGTACGTTAACTCTATAATAAAAACGCTAATATTCGCAGTACACTACTTTCACACAAACACTGTCTCGACCACAAATTAAAAAAAAACACGCATAACGGGCAGATAATGGAGTAGCCGGAAGTGTTCCAAGGTCCGGAAACGACCAATGTTAATATCTCACACGTCACTCGTTCTTTCTAAAACACCAACATAGACCGTCCAAAATATCTTAGCCGACAAAAAAAAGCAAACGCAAAATAAAAAGTCATCGGTCGTAATACCGTTTGATGCATTTTCCACAGGATATAAGTACGATAAGTGCATCTGTTCTACATTATAAGAGACATTCGGTCTCATGCTATCGCAGCACGGTTGCAGTGGAAACAAGAGTCTGCTAACTAGCTGTAGCTAGAAGGCTAACCACTGGAAAACAGCGCAGAGCTGCTGGGGTACATGAACGAGGGGGGCAGGGTGGGAGAGAGTATAGCAGGCCCTGTTCATCTTGACCAGGCTAAAAGATGGATGCGTAGGTAAAAAGGCCTATTTTATTGTCTCGATTGTGATTTCATTATGATTCATTTACTTGCACAATAAGAGAGTTTTGCTCCTGCATTATCTGGCTTGCTGTTGTTAGGTCGCGCATCATGACGGCAAGCTAAGCTGTCCCTTTGCTGAATGTGTAGTATTAGCCAGCTGTTTTGCATGCTAACATGTTACACATAGCCCCAACGCTTAGAAGATTTCGCGACCATTAATACTTTGAAGAGCATTTTTAAAGCACTATTGAAAATCGAAGTGCATTTTCCCCATCGTAGACTGGGGAGATTTTTCCATTACTCCCCGGAGTCTGTCGAAATGGACATTTTCTTTTCTGTAGCGATACGCGATGCAATCGGAAGATGTAATAATTACATGAAATTCACCTCTAGCCCGGACGATTCACACCGCACTCAGCATCTTTTCAGCACAATGCCAACTGCTCAGAATGTAAGACAAAGTGATAGAAAACACTCGCGAGGTTTAAATATAAGAAAATTGTGTAAATATTTGAAAATGTGTGTTATCTTACTGTTTACATTCCGCTTATCGTCTGAGAACGTATTTCACACTACTTTTGTTTAGTATCGTGTTGTGATTGTAAAATGACATTCGTTAAATGCATCAGTGACATGTCAGTTGAATGTGTCTGTTAATTTCTGTAATTTAGATGATGCTGATAGATAAGATGAACCAATGTTTTAAATGTATTAAACACGATGTAGTATTTCAGAGTGAATTGTGTTACAATAATAATGTTATTGTAATAATTTGTTTTAAGATCTATTGATCACTAAATAACAGATACTCAGTTTTTTTTAAATTGTTTTTGTTATTGTAAGTTATTTCATTTCGTTATTGTAGGTTATTTCATTTCGCTATTTAAGAATACAACTGAGCAAAAAGGAAATCATGGAAATGCCATGAAATGTTCAAGTAATGCCTTTAAGATGTTCGTTTGAAGCACTTGGAACTTTTTCGGAGATGTGTCCATACTCGCATAATTATTCACACACATAAGTTACATTTTCTATGTATTAAAATAAACAAACATTAAAATGCTTGCTGTAATAAACAGTCTGTCTGTTGTTGTTGTTGTTTTTCTTTTTCTTTAAATCAAATTCTTTTGTTGTCTTTGGGGTTTTGGTGGTTTATGTTTTTTTTTTAAAGAATTGTATCAGAGTTTGTGTATAAATTCAGTCATTTAACATGTTCCTCTTTTTTTCCTCTCACAGTGAGAAGAGTGGCATCACAACATCACAGCCCCCAAGAATGATATTAGAGGATTTTGCTTCCAGCTATGGAAAAAAAGAAAAATATATTAATTGAAACTTGGAAACAGAGATGTAAGCCACTTTTGTCAGAGTGGATTAAGAATTAATAGATATTGAATGTAATGAAGCCAACCCATGGGATTTGGAGGGATCCATCCTACTGTAGGATGGTCATGAACTAAAAAATGTAACCAAGGAAGTGAAATTCTTTCAATGAACTCAGACAACAGTAAGCACTTATAGTGCACTTCCCAAAATGTGAAAACATAATTGCATCTCATGCAGTTGTGGCATTCTTTTACCAGTCCATATGTCTTTGCACTTATGGAACATTCAGACTGAAATACTGATATCAAAGTTGAACTATCCAAAATAACTGATTTTATGGAATCCAATGTGAAGCCAAAAGGGAGTCAATTTTGGTCATCTCATAAGTGACAAATCCCATTGAAAAACGGCTTTTTTGCAGAGACTACAAATTCATGTTACAGTCAATACAAATTGTCCTCGTCGACTACTTGCCTGAAGAGTGAGTATGTGGCTGCCCACTTTAAATGAAACAACACCAGTAGCATAAGGAAAATGTGAGGTAGCACTGTTTTTGAAATTGCTTTTTATGACTACAACTTAGTAGAAAAGCATCATAGAAATATTGTTGCTGCTCAAAGGGCAAAAGGTGTTGCCACTGCGCACCATGTTCCAGTAACTGGGAGATGTTCCAGTTTGGAAAATACAATGTGGACATCATAGAGATGCTGAGTGGACACCAATCCCATCAGTTCAAAGGTCTTGGATTAGAACGACAACTTCAACACCAACAGCAAGTGCAGCTTCACCAACACCAGTTACAGCAGCAGCAAGGTGAGACATCTGGGTCAATTTTGTCTGGACTTGGCTTAGGCCCACTACAAGCATCTAGAGGCAGTGCCTTTACAGATTCTGCATCAATTTTTGCAAAAATGAGTGCACCTCCCCCACCTCTGCAACAACAATCCCTCTCTTCATCTCAAAGTTTGAGGAAATCCAGCAAAATGTCTGGAAGCAGTAGCAGTGGTGGAAGTCATGTGAGTGGATACCCCCAGTTTTTGCGCTCATTCCACCCAACTGAGACAACCCTTTCACAAGAGCAGTTACATTCAGGAGTAGGGCGATTTGATCATTTTGCCAGCAGTAGTGGAAGTGGAGGAACTGCAGGGGCAATTGGAGGACTGGTTTCATCTGTTCCACCACCCCCGTTGCATCCTAGTCTGTCAGTACCTCAGCCCTCCCCTGGTCCGTCGTCCTCCTCCCCATCTCCTTCAAGTTCTGTTTCAACTTCCAATAACCCTCCCAGCAGTAGTGCAGTAACTACCTTTAGTCATCAGTTGGCAGGATCTCAGTCTGACGCTCGAAGCCTACATCAACAGTTTAGCTGCATGTTAGCCGCAAATCAGTATTTTCTTTCTGGAGTACCAGCCAATTCCAGTCTAGAACAATTTTTAGTTCAGCAAGGCAGTCATAACCATCTTGGTCTTGGTCTGGGCCAAGCTGCAGGAGAAACTAGTTCAGCCCTTGCGCCACCCCCTGCTCTTCATTCTTCACACACTCATGGTCACTTAACTGCATTATCACAGCCTCAACAGCCACCATCACAACATCAGCAACTACCACCTCACACTTTGTCTCACCCTCACCCACATCCACACCATCCACTGCACTCCTCATCGCAACCTTCTTCGCTTGGAGGTTTTGACTTTCAAGGAATCCCAGTACTCTCCTCCAACCAGCTTGCATCTCTGATGCAGCAGGAAGCCGGTTTGCCACTTCCGCTTCCTCTACATCTTTCTTTATCAAAAGAGGATGGAAAGGGGGATAGTGCTGTCGGAGGAGGTGGTAGGAGAAAGAAAGCCATGGTTGGCTACCTGCCACAGAGAAAGTCTGAAAGCAGCAACAACAATAGCAGCAGCGGTCACAGCTCTACAAACCCCAACAGTAGCACTTCAGGGGGACTCAACCAGGAGAACACACCAGGCTTAGATGGAGGTGGGGGTGTTAGTTTGTCTGGTATTGGTGGGGACCCTTCTTCCCACCTAACCTCATTATCCTCTACTTCTGTTGTCTCATCATCTTCTTCTGCACCCTCTTCTACATCAGCATCAGTTTTGGTGACAAATGGCTCTAAAACAGACAGCCATGGTTCCATGCCACCTCAGTCTCAGCCTGAACAAGAACCCCTTTATCATTGCGGCGAGTGTGGCAAAACTTTCACACATCTCTCTAGTCTGCGCAGGCACCTACGTAGCCATGAATTAACTACAGCTGGCACAAGCGGCATGAGAAGTAGCATTATAAACCCAGTTCTGCATCCTTCTGATCCAAGTATTCCCCACTCTACTCAAGAGGATGCAGCCTCATCTTCGTGCGGCAGTCCTGACAAGACTTTTCATTGTTCTGAGTGTGGAAAATGTTTCAAGAAAAAGGGGCACCTACTTCAACATGGTGTCATCCACTCTGGCGCACGGCCCTATGCCTGCACTACTTGTAGTCGTGCTTTCAATCGTCGTGAGTCACTCACCCGCCATGAAAAAATACATGAAGACAAACCTTTCCGCTGTCCAGCCTGTGGTCGTTGTTTTCGGGAAAGTACATCCCTTTTGAACCATGCAGCCTCGGGCACCTGTGGCAAGTCAGGCCGTACACCAAGACCTAAGCATGAAAGTAATATAGAAAGCAAGAGCAATAAAGCTGGGGGCTCCCAAGATGGAATAGCGACTAATGCAGCGGGTGAGTAACGTCTAGTGTAGTGCATATTTTTAGTAAACCCACTGAAAAGTCAAACAATTTTTCATAGGCACTGTGAAATTTGTGTGCATAGCATTATTACTGTTTAGTCTGTTGTGCAGGTTCTTACCGGAGTGATGATTTCAGTGATGACTACAAGGACCAGCGCTCTCAAAGTAACTTGTATTCTGGAACAACAACATGTGGTGGTGGCAGCATGACAGGGACTGCACTTAGGAAGGCACCATTAGCTCCTACTCTGCATCCACACCCACAAAACCAAAGCCAGCAGCATCATCAACAGCCACATCTCCCACTTTCATCCCTGTTAGAGGATTCTGAAGATGATGTCACTAGCTCTGTCAACAGTGCCATTTCTGCTATCACTGCTGCAACTGCAAATTGTATGAGTGGTGATCTTGCCCATAGTGGAGGTAGAGGGGATGATCGAAGGGATATCATTGGTGGATTGCTTGGAGGTCTGGGTCTAGGACCTCTTGCCTCACCTAGTGGTCCGTTATCAACATCTGTCATGGAAAAGTCCTTTAGAGGAACTATTAACCCAAGTGCATTGGCCCTCAACCAGCAACCAAATCAGCAGACACCTGGTGGAAAGCCCAAGCGCCCTCGTAAGCCCCGCAAGAAGAAGGAACCTGGTGTGGTTGGTGTTGAGCCCCCTAAAAGAAGGCAGTCCTCTCACAGACCAGGAGGGACAGGTGGTGATGTTAGACCTTATTTGTGCAGCGTCTGTGGTCGAGGATTTGCAAGAAGAGAGACCTTGCGGAGGCATGACAGAATACACACTGGAGAAAAGCCTCACCATTGTAATGTGTGTGGCAAGTACTTCAGAGAGGCATTCCATCTTAGCAAGCACCACACAGTGCATTCTGGAGAGAAGAACTACAAATGTATCCTGTGTGGAAAGGACTTTGGATACGCTCAGAGCCTTAAAAGACATGGTAAGCTACACCAGAAAGGAGAAATGGAAGAAGTGCCAACCACGCCAGGTGTGGAAAACCTTAACCGCTATCCATCCTCTAGTGGCAGCTTGATTCAAGGGGGTCAAAGCGGCGGCTCTTCTTTCTATTCATATACTCAAGATGTCAAGCCACAGACATCAACGACTCAATCCCCTCCTAGACTGTACACATGTGCGATATGCTGGAAATCGTTCCGCCATCACTTTCACTTGACGGCACATCACCAAACTGTTCATGAGGGTGGTGGAGAAAAGCTGTTTTCTTGTGAAGTGTGTGGTAAGGCATTTGCATACTCTAACAGCCTTACACGACACAGGCTTTCTCAGCATGGCTTAACACGGAATGGCCAGCCAGTTGCTCAAAGGAGCACAGGGGAAGATAACAGTGTTGGTGTTACGATACCGGAAAGCGAAGCTGCTACAAATGCTTTGCTTCAGCTCGCACCACCTAGTGGCACACATGCTGAACAACATGGAGTTCTTCATAGCCAGCAGGCTCCTCCCCAAACACAAGCTGGCTACTCCCCTCTGTTCTATATACCCGATACCAATGCTGCACAGAATGCCTCCTCTTATTCTCATTCTCTGCCGTCAACTTCCTCAGGGCCTCTTCTTTGTAACCATCAGCAACACCACACTGGGATAAAGGGTGAACCCATTTATCACACTGGTCATGTGCATACTCTTGCTCCAAACATACCAGTGCATTCCCTCGCGTTGCCTCCATCAGAGCCACATCAGCACCACCACAATTCCCAGCAGCATTCAGCTGAGTTTCAATCTACACACCACCACACTTTTCAAAGCCAAGAGGAGTTGAGGAGACGGAAGAAAAAAAAAAAAAGACAGCAAGAGAGAGAGGAGATAGGCTACAAATGGACCCCGGCTGCAAAAGTAGAGAGAGAACAGGTGGAGGCCTCCCTTGGGGAAAAGCAGAGAAATGAGATTAGAAAACTTGTTAAAAGAAGGAGAGCAATTCACAGGACGCAACATAAAATTAAGAAGCGCATGGCTGTGCTCGTGAGAATCAGACGTGGAAGTGGAGGAAGTGCTGTGTATGAACTGGGCCTTCCAGGTGGACTGAAGCTTAACAGGCTTCGTTCTCTCAAAGTTCCTCTGAAACGAAAGTCCTGTCCCCTTTGCCTTGGTGCTACCTTCTCTCAACAGGTAGCCCTTAAAGTTCACATAGCAGCTAGACATTGTCCCAAAGTGAGAGGCCTTCAGCATCGTTTGAAATGTCCAGTTTGTGGAAAACAGTCTCGCAAGTTCCTCTCAGCTCTCATTCACAGAAGCTCCCATTTAGCCAACAGAGCTTTTTCTTGTAAACATTGTCCCTGTCGTTTCTGGAATGCAATGCTCCTCACACGGCATAAGAAGGTGTGTCGTGGGACATTGGCTAAGTTTCAACGAGATAGGGCTCTTTGTGTTAAATTAGTCATGGGATCAACATACAGGAGGTTTGAGTGTAAAGGGAACTCTTCATCCTTGCATATGGAATATAGTCACTAAGTTTTGCCATTAAACTCATTTTCATATGCACTTTTAGAAGAGAAGTGTTGCGATTTTCATGAGAAGAACTGAGATATCTGACTGAATACATCTTATGCTCATGTAGGCATTGACTTTTGTGTTATGAGAGCTTTTTCTTTTCACTCTCATTCATATTAAATTTCCTCTTGTAACTTGGACCCCTGAAAATGAACACCTTCAACAAACTCACAAATGTATCGAAGACATTTGTCTTAATGAAATGCTTAGCCTACCCATCTGTTCAATACCACACCGGTCTTCTAAGCGGAAACTCTTGTTCATATTGAAATTATCCTTGGCTGGCAATAGATGAAGTTTCAGTGATTTGGCAAATATTGTATTGTGCCCTAACAGTGGGTTATTGCTCACCTCAACAGATGCTCTGTAGAATTATTCTATCTCTGATATATATTGTGTTGTTGGTGTTCACTTAGAGCAAGTGTGGAGATGTGATTTTGTTAATGTAAAAAGTGCATTCAGTATCAGGAGAAAAAAGGGTCCTGCTAGGAAGATGAGTATTTTATTTTAAGGAATATTTAAATGACTGCATGTTGGACATTACTGTCCGTGTGTTGAAAGGTCAATGCCAGTGATGAGACTTTGGACTCTGATGGTTACATGACAAATCCAATTGAAAATGTATCTTAACTCTTAATAGAGGAACCATAAGAAATGAATGCATAATACATGCTGATTAACAATTCTTAAAATCAATTGTGAGCCCTGTTTTGATTTATTTATTTACTTAAAGAAAACTATACCACTAAGATGGTAATGCCAGCACTTAAACAGGAAAAATATGATTTTTCACATAACCATAAAGGACAAAAAATGTAATACCCATAGATTATTGCCCTAAAGGCAAAAGCCTTCCCAAATTGTGACCGTTAAAACAACACATTTTATGGGTAATACAATGTAGCGTCTATGTATAGAGCTTACTGGAGGAATGGAAAGAAATATGTGTACTGTAATGTAAATTGTGTCAATATTTTATTATGTTTTTTAAGCAAAAGTCAATCTTTTTATCATAGCTACACTTCAGGTAGTTGGAAGAGTGATTGTAAGAGTTATCACTTTAGATCCGGTCTTGATTAAGTGTATTAATGTGTGACACAGTCTGTCCACTTGCCAACTATGAACGTATCCCATGTACTTTTCTCACCTTTCATGTAGAGATCCCATACTACTTATAGCCTCTTTTTCTTTAAAAGAAGAAAAGTAATAAGTATGTTTCTATCACTTTATTTACACATGGTAAGCTGGTTGTTGATGATACCCAAGCATTTAATAAAATTGTAAAATGTTATATCCTCATTAATTCCATGTAAACATTTATTGTTACCTCAGTATTTAATATTTATCTGCATTTATATTCAAATATGCCAAATATGCATTTTGCATAATTTTTTTTTTCATGGTTTAATCAATTCCTGAAGTTGTTTTATTGCTACTTAACATTTATTATTTATTTATTGCTTCTGTTAAATCTTTGTCACAATGTTTAAATATTTATCATTACATTATTCTGTTGCTATAAGATCACCATGATTTTACCATGCAGTGTGATCTTACTTTTTTTTTTGTAGATAATACCTTAAGGGAATAGTTGTCTAAATATATTTATATTTAAGGATATATAAGTATATATAAAGATTTTACATTCGCTGTTACCAGACAGAAAGTGGCTTTTTAATTGGCAAATGTAATTTAGTATTGCTAATGAAAAAAATCAATGTAGTCCAATTCTAATTTTGTATTTTGTAATGTATTGAGCGCCCTTCTTTCCATCATTTGACCAACATTGGTCAGTTTCTGTCTGAACATGATATATGATTTTTTATTTATTTTTTTGTGTAGAATTATAGTTGAATAATAGGTGTTGAGGCTGTGAAACTGACTAAACAAAAGGCTTTAGAACATTTGAGAGTGCTATTTTCCATGTTGATCAGTTGGTGGCAGCAAGGATCCTACAACCTATGATATGAAGCTGGGAGCACAAATGTCACATGGATTTAAACGCCGATAGTGGGCGGAAAACAAGTACCCTGAGCCCTCGGGTGTGTGCGCTCACGAGGTAGGCTTCAAATTAATGTGCGTCTAAGAGAGACGGTTTTTTGTTTATAGAAAAAAGCAAGGAAGAAAAGAATGCGGAAAAAAAGGTCCTTAGCAGATAACATTCTGTTCTGTCTTTTACATGTCGACCATGTCTTTGCATTCTCATTAATTAGTTTTATAATATCTTTGAAAGCAAATACAATAGTTTAAGTTGTGAAATCGTAAGACCTGCATTGAGCATCACAATACTTTGACACTCTCGTGTTTTGGGTTCATCAGGTTCAACCCCAGCAAATCTATTTCCTTAATTTCTGAATCTTTTGTGGGTGTGCGGCACTCTTCCCCTGGATTCGCGCAGTTTCTGTATTCTCACGCGGCTGTAGCATGGGTGGGATAAATGGGCGGAGCGCAGTTCTCCACGGTAGCCAGTAACTGTGCGCGCAGGGAGGAGCCTCTTTTCTCTCAGCCAATGGCAGTAAAAAGAACAGACAGGCTCAGCCGCTTCTCCGCGTGCGGACACCATGTGCACTGGAGAGCTCGTCTGTGTTTGTGAGGCACAACGTGTAGTTGCCATCTCTCGCGTGATGCTCACGTTTCCCGCGTATTACTAGTGAAGTGAAAAAGTGTGTCCATTCGCTTAATAGTTTTTCTTTTGGTTTTTGGCAAAAGCTAGCGCTCTGATAGGACTGAGTGTAAAAACTTGACAGGTTGTTAAATACATCATAATTCTGTTAATAAATCATAATTCTGATGCACTTTAAAATTATCCACTTTCCAACGTAGTAAGTGGCCACATGTTTATGCGTTTTCTGGGTGCCAAACAGGCGCCATCGAGACAGCTGGGAGAGAAATGACTGACCAATTTGTTTTTAATCAGTGCTACTAACCCCCGAGGAGCGTGCCTGTCACGAGGGGGTGTGCCTCATTAATATTAAACAGTGGTGCGCTTTCACTCTGGGAGGTGTGACGTCACGCGAGCGGCCCGTGTTCGTTCCAGCTGAGCGAAAAGCTCGGAGGGCTCAGCTCAAAGTGTGCGGTAACACACATGCAGAGAGAACTGAACAGAAGGGGTGACCACAAGGGGAAAAAGCGATTGAGCGACTGAATGGAAAAAAAACGTCAACGTCCCACGAATCGCACTACGCAGCAGTCTCAGCAAGACTTCCTTCGTTTTGTTTTCATTAGTTATTCTGGAGACGACGCAAGTTTCGCGCATTCAAGAGTTGAGCGCGCATTCACGTTATCGTTTGCACTGTTGGGTTCCTTATTCTCCGAGATTTTTCCATTCCGCGCTGTTTTCTACTGAAGCCGTTGTATCCTGTTAATTTGTTGCGTTTTTTTTCTACGTTGGTCTTGGACATTACATCGCTATTTTTGACATTCGCCTGTATTTATAAAAGTTCCAGCAGAAGATAAGCTGTCAACATTTTCTGGAATTACTGGGAATGTATATTTTTATCCACTCGGCCAATCTACAATCAAATGCAAGCAGAATGGCTCTCTTTGTTTAAAACCTTATTTTCAAATAAAGGTAAATTAAAATGAATGTTCTTTGATATCAGATGCTCTGGTGCACGTGAGCTGCGCAGGTCGTTCCTCCTCCTCTGTCTCTAAAATAAACGCGTCTCGTGTTGCAGTACTAAACAACTTTGTTTACTTTAATGCTACTCTAATGATACGAACTTAATCCAAATACATCATATGTTAGTATATGTGCTGTTTCTCTACGAATTAATGCTAATATATATTTTTTGTTTTTGTTTCCACTATGAATCGTCATGTGATTGATTTCACGGCTACACAATAGTATTGAATCACCCAAACATCTAGCGGTCAAGGGAGCTCAATCCGGCTGACGTTGGATGATGGCCAGGCCGCTTTCACAGCTCCTTCCCCCGGACCTTCCCTCTGCCGGAGCCAGTCCACAGTTTGGCAACAGTATCCAGGCAGGAGGCTCACTTAACGGAGGACACTTAAACTCAACTGCAAACTTAAAGTCGCTCCTGCAGCTCCCAGTGAAGGGCGACCAGCGCGTCAAAGACTGTAGTGAAATGAAGGGTAAGGAAACGCACCTGCTTCCCTGACACTCAGTGTTTAATTATAACGAGCTCCCTCTCAACCTTTTGTTTGTTCCCCTTTGGAATGTGTAAATATTGTGTTAATAGTCACAAGGACAGTTAGTTTCCTGATTAGTGTGATTACTGATGATAAAAAGTGTGGTTGAACATGTCAAATGACAGGGTCATGTGCAACTGTGCATATCTCAGTGAGCCTCAAGACAGGACATCACATGGGACTTTGTTGAAGAGATAAACAAGGCCAGGCCTTTCAGCCACTTAGCTCCCTACCCAGGTACTTTGAGGTCAGCTGTTGGCCAAGCCATTTTGTTTACAGGTCTGTGCAATGCACAGCATAACCACACCAACAGAAGTTTTCCATTGCCTGTGAATACAACATTGTGAATATTGGAAAAGCTTCTTTATGGATTGCTGTCAGTGGCATTGTTTTGTAATGATTATCTGGTTAACATTAATAGAAACTGACCCTAAACAGGTGAGGGAAAAACTCTTAAACCAGTGTCAATCCCGTTTCTGTGCACACAGCTTTTGAAAACACATTTATCATTTAAACCACTGCAGTTACTTTTGAATACTGATATTTTTTTCAAACGGCATGTAAATGATTCAAGAAGAGTTTTTGCACTTTTGGTGTTAATTGTTTTTAAGCTTGAGTATTTTTTCTGTGACACTACTGTTTTTCTGTAGAGAAAAGAATTCAAATTTAAAATGTGTTGCAGTTACAGTTTTATGGTTTGTTTTTATACAATATAGCTAAACCAGAAATTTCTCATTTCAAACTCTCTTTTCTGGTTCTGGTTTCCTCACCAATGCACCGTAAAATACCTAATTTAGAATAACTAGTGTTGTTAAGATTTTAGACCCCACCCTAGAGTGTCTCAGGCCCCACCTAAATGCTTTTAAGACTGAAACCTTCAGATTTAAGACCTTCAGACGCCATGTCCGCTTTCACATTGTTTTTTTGTGTTGCGTTGCTCCTGTAGATTAGAAGTGGTTTTATACCAACTAAAAATAACCAGTAACCACTTAACTCAATATACACTACACTAAACCAGAGCGTCATTGTAGTATTGCTATGTTACACTACTGTAATATTGTGTTAAACAATACACGTCTGACTTTGTGTTACACATGCTGCCTTTTGGCTTTGGTTCAGACATAATACCATAGTTCTGTAACATTTAGCCATTGTTCAACTGTATTGTTGCTGAAACGCAGAGTTAAGCAGTGTCACTGCGGTGTAACATTGTAATCGCTTTACCATGGTTTTTCAGGAATGTCAAAACGCATTAATCTTTTGCGAGTTTAAAGGAAAGTATTTCAAAGGCTCTTCATTTTGCATTGATGCACTGGGAGCTTTTCACATGTGTTGACATTGCAGAGGTAGTTCTCCCAGAGGGATGTGAAAGTTGCTGGGAAGTGTTATTCTAACTACGTAATCTGAGCACCATCAGAAAAACTGCTCTCTTGAAATCTACAAAAGTCAATATATGTGTTCCTAAGAATAGTTAGAATGGTTTGAGAGTGTTAAGCCCCATTCACACCAAGAACGATAACTATAAAGATAACGATATTAGCGTCCACACCAGCGGACAATATCGTCTGTTTATTCTAAGCGCACACTCATCTGCCGCTTTAAATTCTCAAGCTCGTTATAGCAGGATGAATTCTGATTGGGTGTCAATGTTTGTATTGTTCATCAGCTGGAAAAAAATCGTTCTGAAAGTGATTCCAACGATATTGTTTCTCTGTGCCTTTATCGTTATAGCTGTGGTGTGGACTCTGCTATTCTTTAATATTGAGAACGATTTTTAGAACTATATCTTTCTCTTCATAGGTAAGGAAAGGTTGGACATCGATGAAGACTCTCTCAGTCGTTGTCCTTTGCGCAACGGCTGCAGCAATGGACTAGTCGCTGACAGCAACGGCGCAGGCACGGGCAGCTTTTCTAACAGCAACAACAGTTCCTTACTGGGCCCGTTGCTATGGGAACGAACATTGCCATGTGATGGCGGGCTTTTCCAGTTGCAGTACATGGACCTCGAGGAGTTTCTGACAGAGAACGGGATGAGCAGCATGCACAGTACCTCCAACTCCACCTCGGCTCAGATACCCTCGCAAAGCTCTCAGTCCGCCGTCCCCAACCAGGGCTCCAAGTGCCTCCCCACATCGCCC